ACCACCTCCTCCAAGGCTTCCTCATTTCTCACGACCTGTTGGCAGTGTGCGACAATTAGTTCTTCCGTAGACATGTGCGGATTGTCATCTAGCCTGTTCCAGGTAGGAACCAGGGCTTCCACCGGGAAGTCARTCTCCCTCTCATGCCAGAGTTCCGCCGGAATGCATCTCGTCGTCCTTTTCGGCGTCTTGTTCTCGGAGAAGACCGTCTGCTTAAGGTACCGAGGCCAGTTCCCCAGGTCATCGGCTGCCAACTTAGCGATTGTGTTTTTCAAGGKCCGGTGACCCCTTTCTACTGGTGCATTGGCCTCAGGGTGATCTGGTTCGATGATCTTGATAGGTACGCACAGCGCCTTAAGCCTGCCCAACACCTCCTGGTTGACGAACTTCATTCCATTCTCTGCTATGAATCTGCGCAYAAAGGGGTGCCTAAGGTAGAAGTCTTCTATCCAATCGGCCACTCCCTTTCCCRTCTTTTTCTTAAGAGCTACCGCCTCTACGTAGCCGTTGAGGTTATCTCTTGCATCCAAGATGTACCTGTATCCATCCGTCGATACAGGCATGACCGCCAGGTCGAGGTGGACCAGATGCCCCGGCCCTAGTACCTGGGTAGGTCTAAGGGGTTCGAAGACGCGCGTGAAGCTCCTTTCTTCGCATATCAGACACGTTTGACAGTACGTGACTACCATACCTACCATACCTGGCCAGAAGTAAAATGGCGCGATTTTTCCAAGAGTCCCTTTGGATGATTGGTGGCCTCCGGCTAGTCCATCATGCATTGCCTGAATTACGTCCAACTACCTGGATCTTCCGCACACGACACGCCTAGGYATCATTCCTTCTTCTTTCTTGAACAGGTGGTCATTTCTCACAACATACTTCTCGGCTTCTTCCCTTGCCTTGAGGCTGACCTCTATAGGCTGCTTGTTTCCTATGAGCAGGAGATCRATTTCTCTAAAGATAGCCATCATACATCTGTATAAGGAAGAACTCTCGTCCCTTCTGACCGGTGCCTTGCTCCTCCTGAGTCTGATTCACTAGATACTGCCGCTCTCTTTGCGTCCAAGTTTCTACTAGGTTCATCACAGCATCCCTACCCCCTTCAACGACCATTGCCATCAGCTCTTCCTTYGGCCCCATCGTTGCTCCCCACGAATCTTTCTCATCCTTGCGTCTAAACGTGGTGACTGGTCCCTCCCTGAGCTTCGCAACTATGGCGGGCGTGCTCTTCTCTAGGGTCTGAATCAGCAGTTGGTCCATTGTAGGAGCGGTGTCTGCCATCTCGTTATCCACGACCAGGGTCCCTCCTTCGTATTCTAGCAAGRCGTCGATTGGTTCTGCATCCTCTACTCCCTCTGGCGTAATRCAAACCCGACTTAGTCCGTCTGCCCTATTTCGGAGCCCTGCAATTCGCTTGACCTTGTAGTTGAATTGCCATATGAAGCCTATCCATCTCCCGACGGTCGGGTCTATAGGCTTGTAGTTCTGTAATGCCCCGGCGACATTGGTCGGATCGATCCTAAGAATAAACCGTCTCCCGAATCGGTATGCCTGAAACGTCTTAAGGCAATCTAGAATGGCTAAGACCTCTTTTTTGAACTGTGAGTACGGCCGCTCTGCCGAATTCAGGRTCCTGCTCTCAAATCTGATAGGCCTCTCCTTACCTTCCTCGCTCGTCTGTATCAGTACTTCCCCTACTGCCAATGACCCTCCGTCTGTTTCCAAGATAAAGGGTCGTCCTACTTCATCATTGAAGCAGGGCGCTGCCAAGGTGACTTGGTCATAATACAAGACGTCTTTGAGAGTCTGGGCTGCCGCCTCCCTATCCTCGRTCCACTCCATGGTCCCTCATTCCCTAATCATTGCGCGGATAGGCTCTGCTATCTTTGCGAAACCTTTGATAAAGATTCTTCAGAATCCGACTGCCCCTAGGAAGGCTCGCACTTCCGTCGTGGTGCGCAGTGGTGTTGGTCATTGAGARATCTTATCTGTTTTTGTCGGGTCTGGTTTCCTTCCATAGGCCCCACAGCGAAACCCCAGTATGGTTACTTCTGGGACCGCCAGAATGCTCTTAGGTCCGCTTGCGGTAATATTATATACCAGGAACCRATGAAGTAGATCCTTGATATCCTGTAGGTGATCCCAAACGAACTTTCGTATGCTCGGCTAGACCTGCGTCTCATCCTTGTTCTGCGCACCTTTTATGGGATTATCGTCTGTGTAGCGTTCACATTTTTCCGGAAACATGTCCCCTGCGACCGCAAGCATCCTCCT